GCCTCTATAACTTCCTTGGCACAAGTGACTCCTCAGAATTAGCACCTTCCTCCTGATTTTCCTATTGCCATTACTCGAAGTGTACTTGTCCTGTGCCAGGAGTGAGGCTCTGGTTTCCTTTCTTTCCTTCACGGTGACGTCTTATTCATTGCTAATTAAGTCCTATATGGTTCTCCTCTACAATGTCACTCAAGTCTGTCTTCTTATCCCCATTTTTATTGTCACCAGCTTAATTCAGATTCTCAATTATTTTTTGAATTAAACAATTCAAGAGAATACTAGTAGATGTCCCTCGCTCCGTAGCTCTCTCCTGCAACCTATCATTCACAAGAAGGCAGCCCTAATCACATCATTTTCTCACTTAAATCCTTTAGTAACTGCTCTTTATCTATCCCCACGCCTGTCATGCACGTAAGGCTATCCCTTCTCTAACTCTGGCACTCATTTGTCAGAATTTTCTCCTTAACTTCCCTACATAGTGCAGTCCTCCATCTGAATGGATCAGCTCACCGATCCCCAAACAAACCCAGACACTCCTGCTCTGCCTTTGCCTATGATATCCCTTCTTCCTAAATACCTTTAAGCCTCCACCTCTTGATATCAGACTCATCTTTGATGGCACACTCCAACAACCATCTCACTGATTCCTTCATTCAAGAAATTAACATAGACTAATGAGTTTCAACTATGTGTCAGTTAGGCACACGTAAGACAAAGTGCCTACCATCAGGGCATTCTAGTGAGGAAGAAGTGAGGAAGGAGACCATTGTGGCTGGGTCACAGGACGGGAGGAGAGTAATATGAAGTGAGGTCGGAAGGTTGAAAGAAGCGGACCACGTAAGAAGTTTGAATTTTGTTTCCCTAAGAGCAACGGGAAATCACTGACGGGTTTTGAACAAGGGTAAAACACACCTTAGTTTGAAAATGTCCCACTGCTGATGTTTAAGGAAAAATCCTGTGGCAGGAGAGTGAACGTGGGAGAATGGGACCCAGCGAGGATGCAAGAGTCCTGGGTAGAGGTGGCAGCTCGGCTAGGTGACAGCAGGTGAGAAAGGAGAAGTGGGAATGAATTTGGGATGTATTTTGGAGACAGAGCTGACAGGTTGGATGAAAGAATTATAATGAAGAAAGGAATTAAGTTTTTATTCTGAGCAATCAGATGACAATGTTATTTTCTGAGATAGGAAAGACCATGAAAGGAATAAGTGTGTCGGAGAAAATTAAGAGCTCGAGTTTTGACATGTTAAAATCATTTGTACATGAATGTTCATGGCAGCATTTTTCAGAGTAGCCCAAAACTGGAAACAACCTAAATGTCTGTCAACTGATGAATGAATAAACAAAATGTGGACTACCCCTACAGTGGAATGCTATTTAGCCATAAAAGGAAATGAAATACCTATTCATGCTGTAACATGGAAACTTGAAAACATGCGAAGAGAAAGAAGTCAGACACAGAAGGCTACATATTATATGACTAAATTTATGTGACATGCCCAAAATAGGTAAATCATAGAGACAGAACTTGGTGTGAATGGGGAGTGACTTTTAATGGTTCTGAGATTTCTTTTTGTCATGATGGGATGAGGAAAATGTCCTGAAATTGGATAGTTGTGAAATGGAAAGGTTGCACAACTCTGTGAATATAAAAGTCACTGACTTGCACACTTTTAGATAATGAAGCCTCTGTCAGCTCACGTCTGTGAATGAGAATCATGTCTGTCCCAGACACCCACCCACCAGATGTGTACCGTGGGCATGAAATAAATGCCTCTGATCTTGGGGCGCCTCGGTGGCTCAGATGGTTGAGCATCTACCTTTGGCTCAGGTCATGATCCCAGGGTTCTGGGATCGAGCCCCGCATCGGGCTCCTTGCTCAGAGGAAGCCTCCTTCTCCCTCTCCTTCTACTGCTCCCCCTGCTTGTGCTCTCTCACTCTCTCTGTCAAATAAATAAATAAATAAATAAATAAATAAATAAATAAATAAATAAAATCTTTAAAAAAAATGCCTCTGATCTTAACAAGCATTGACATTTGGGGTGGTTTGTTACAGCAGCAAAACTAGCCTTTCTTCATTGATGTGTTCTTCAAGAAAATAACAAAGTGATCTCAGGCACTTTATAAGCTGAAGCCCTTTCAAGTATTAATGACATATCAAAGGCAGTTCAGCAAAGCAGTTAAGAGCCTGGCTTTGTCGCTTGATTCTGCTTATTAGCCATGTGACAGTGAACAATTTATTTAAGCTCTCTGTCCTCAGTGTTCTTATGAAATATCACAATACCCACATCATAAGATCACTGTAAAAATGAAATGAATTAACATTTGCTAAGTGCTTAGAAAAGTGCATAGTAAATCCTGTCACTATTTACAGTGATAAAACATAAATAAATAGTACATGTGAAGTGTTCAGGAAAGAACCTAGCACAGAGTAAGACTTCCATGAATATTGATTATTACTAATATTTAGAATAAAAACAAATAACGATCAAATACTTGGCTGGGAATTTTTCTCTGGGGAAAACAAACAAAAGGAGGAGGGGGTGGGGAACAAATTCATGGCTCAGCTCTGGTGGGTTTACTTCCCTTTCTATTCAGGTACGTCCTGAGAAAAGAAACAGAACACAGGGGAATGGAAAAGACAAACGAAGGTTTTTTTCTTTAATTATCTCTGTCACCCAGAGCAAAAGGAAACAGGCCACCTGTGACTGGCACCGAACACGCCTGTCCACGGGAGATAAGCAGCTCGGGGCGATTTCACAGAGCCAAGTAAAGACAAATTCCTTGAAATCTCATGAAAAGTTGGCTCGGAATTTATCAGGATGATTTATTCATGAGAATCACCTGAGATTCTCATTAAAAATACTGATTTCCAGAATCTCATCATAGTAGTGGGAGAGGATTGCTCTGGAAATCCAAATTTCAAACAAGTTCTTGAGAACGTTTATTCTGCCCCTTGGTTATTTGAGAACCCGGGCAAGTCTGGTCCTGCAGCTCAGACGGAGTAGCTGAAGTACCACTGCCACCAGGTGGCAGTAGATCCAAATTACAGGTTCCAAAGGCATTGGATGGGAGAATCAGCAGTTCGATTTTTCCAGCAACCCCTCAACTGTCGCGTTAAAATGAGGGCAGTCACCTCACAGACATAGTTCACGTTTTCTGGATTGGCTGATGTAGAGTTTACATAATTTGGACCCTTGAAGACACAGCTTCTCATCACTTTAAATCATTCCTTTTGTTAAAAACTGAATTTGGAAATAGACGTTATCTTTTGAGTCTCTCCAACTATACACTTTCACAACGTGTAATCAGTTTGTAGAATAAAAGAAACCATACTTACTTATGGAAAATGATCTGTAAAAAGTTCTTCTTTTTTTAAGTGTTAAATTCCAGTTCGTGACCATACAGTGTAATATTAGTTTCAGATGTATAACACAGTGATTCAACACTTCCATGCAACCCCCGTGCTCATCACAAGAGCACTCCTTAATCCCCATCATGTATTTCCCCCATCCCGCATCCTCCTCCCCACGGGTAGCCATCAGTTTGTTCTCTATAGTTAGGAGGCTGTTTCTTGGTTTGCCCCTCTCTTTTTTTTCCTCCCCCTTTTTTCAGTTGTTTTGTTTCTTAAATTCCACAAATGAGTGAGATCATATGGTATTTGTCTTTGATGACTTATTTAGCTTAGCATTGTATCCTCTAGCTCTATCCATGTCGTTGCATGTAAAAAGTTCTTCTCTCAAAGAAACTGAGAGAGTGACATCTTAATAGAGAGAGGGAGATGTCTGACTGAAATAATTAGTTTTGCCTGTTGGACTCTATGATTGTCTATTAAGGAGAGAATAAGCAAAAAGAGTTGATATTGATGACATTTTCTTTTTCTACTTTCAGAGAATCTAGACCCTTATTCACCCATAAAACAAGGCTATTTCCTAAACAGTTGAACTGGAACGGAATAGACTTAGCTTTGCTGAGCTCAGATTCTTTCTGGTTTACCTTCGTCACGAGAAATGGTCACACAAGGCAAAATGTGAGCAGAAACAAGTGTTGCATCCTTAAATATAACTGGCATTTCATAATGGATCACAGCATCCAAGCTTGTTTTACTAGGAGTCAGTAAGAAGCAAGCACGGTACAATGTGACTTTGAAATTGAGCATCATTCCACTCAGCCCCGGTGTGGCAACTCCACAAATCAGCTTGGCAGTGTTCAAGATGATTTACAACAAAGATTGTATGTTATCCATAGGGGGAAAAAAATGCATTAACAAGGAAGATGCTCATAAATAAAATACATGAAATTACCAGTAGAGGATCCACAACCATCCTATTATTTGGTGTCCCTGCAGCCTCTGTAAAAAGACTTGCTCTGATGGTTACATGTATCAATGTTTTAAAAACTAAAAACTAAAAACTAAAAAAGAAAACAAAATTCTTGAAGTGAAATTCACATAAAATAAAACGAACCATCTTAAAGTGAACAACGTTGCGGCATTTAGTACATTACATTTGCGGTGTTTTGCAATCGCCACCTCTAGTTCCAAATATTTTTCTTCGCTCCAAAAGAAACTTCACACCCATTGAGCCGTGGGTATACCCGTGTTTTTGAACGGCATAGGGAGAGAATTTTAAGACTCTGGAGAGGTGTTCACATTGTTGCCAAAGCTTTTTTAGTCTAGCTCTGTCTTGGGAGGAGTTTATAAACAGAGGATTTAAAGAGTCTCACATGATGCAATCAGAAGGGTAGTTAAATGATGGGGCACTGATGAAAAGAATTCAATTGCCTGTCAGGGATGGCCCCTGGCTTTGAAGATACCGCACATTCCTTTGCCAATAGAAAAGCCAACAAAAATGTGGGCCATGAGTCTGTGGGTTCCTTTATGTGCATTTTATTACCAAATAAGAGACTTATTTATGCAAATTAATGGAAAGATGTTTAGACAACTGTGTCATGCCCACCAGCTGGGGGTATAAAAAGCCTTCTGCAGGAGGAGACCTGCATTCACACTCGGGTAACTTGCTCTTCCCCATCTATCCTATTCCACCTCAACTCCTGCCACCATGACTCGTTTCTTCTGCTGTGGAAGCTACTTCCCTGGCTATCCTTGCTATGGAACCAACTTCCACAGGACCTTCAGGGCTACCCCCCTGAACTGCGTCGTGCCCCTGGGCTCTCCCCTGAACTATGGTTATGGATGCAATGGCTACAGCTCCCTGGGCTACAGCTTTGGTGGTAGCAACATGTACAACAGGGGCTGTTGCTATGGCGGCAGCTGTTTCAGGCCATGGGGCTCCAACTCTGGCTTCGGCTACAGCACTTACTGATGGACCCAAGTCTCCAGGCAACTGCAGAACTCTCCAGCGATTCTCTGTGTGCGAACCAACCTGAAGAGCAATGACTGTCTTCCTGCCTCCAGGTGTGCGTGGGAGATACAGCCTCTGTCTTCTTGCTGACTTCTTACTGAGCTCCTGGTCTTTGATGATGCTGAACAAGCCACCCAGGCATCCAATGCTGAACTGATGCTCACCTACAGCCAAGGAGAGCAAGATGTGGTTCTCCCACATAACCTGAATTTTAGGCGTGAAGCAAGTAGTTTGCCTCTTCTAGTTGCTCTGCTCCTGTATTATTAAATTCTACATTGACATCAATGTATCACAATTGGGTGTGGGTAGGGTAGAAGGGGGTTTTGCTGTCAGTCTCTTAATAAAATAAATAAATAAATAAATAAATTTCATTCAGCACACATATTTTTGCTCCTGTTATTTATTTTACTCTGCTTTTATGCTTTTGAATTCCTCAGCCAGTTTCAACCTCTAATGGCTGACTTGAACCAAATCTTATTTTGAGTTCAGTCTGTACACCAGGATAGGGTGATGCCTAATTATTTTGTCCCTTAATGTTAAGATTTCAGTTTCTAAAAAGGCCTTAAAAGTGTCCTAAATTAAATCCAAAATACACTGCCATTGTCAGTGTTTCTCTGTGCCGATTATAAGCAGGAACGTTGCTTAGCTGTTGAATGCTCAAAAATTTCTTTCCTTCTTTCATTAGGGACACAATCCCATTTTGATTCTTTCCCCTTTTCCCTGCTCTTTATGGAACTCAGCTCCAGAGGGATTTGAACCCCACAGCCTGTTGGAAGAATTTCAACTAAATGGACTTAGTTACGAATCTTTGTTTTTAGGAGTTTCTAAGATTTGTTCAATAAAGGGAAGCCAACAGCTAAAATCACATAATATTTTTTTTTCCTTTTTGATAGATGAGTCTTATTTTTCCCATCCTCTTCACTTTTGATTATACATATAGCTGTATTAAAAATGAAGCATTCGTTCTTTGGAATGATAGTTGCCATCAAAAGCACTTGAAATGATAAGTGGTTTGTACTTAGAAAATGCTTCTGGTCTTGCCTCCTGAAAAATCTCTGCTTTACTGAAGCACAATACTTTGTTTGAATGAAAGCTTACTCATTCACATATCAAGTATTTATTACACCCCTGCCTCTCTCAGAGAAGGTGCTCCATAATTGCTCATTGACTTGTTAAATCTCTTCTCTCTGGGTGCAAAATATAGTATAATCCAATATAAAGTTCATTCATGTATGCATGAAATAATACCGGACTCTGGCCACTGTGTTAAGAATTTGGGGACTATAAAAACCACCTAAATAGAGACTGGCCCGAGAAGCTGTTTTCAAGAGATGCTCACTCAATAGACACTCACCAAGTAGACACAAGGCCAAAGATTGTCCTAAGATTTGGGGGACGTAGGGACAAATAAAACATAATCCTTGCCCTGAAGATTTAAATATACTTTATTCAATATATAAAGAGCACTTAATAGTCTCCTATTTTATACCAACTAATGTGCTATAAATGATTATACAAAGATAAATAGATATTCTTTACTCAGTTCTTCCCAAGGACTTAAAATAGGAGACAGCCTATGGTCATTTAGCCTTAGGCATTTAGCCTAAAATCAAGGACAGTATAATTATTAAAATGAGAAAATTAATATTGATATATTATTATCTAAGTACAGTACATACTCCAATTTTTTTCAATTGCTCCAGTAATGTCCTTTGGAGTTATTATTTGCCTTTGTCCATATGAACATAGCATAAACAGTGTGGTAAACTTGCATAGAAGGGAAGTTTGGGTATTTAAACATGACCATGAGAGAGGTGAGTTAAGAGTTACATATGGAGACAGACATGTGTGTGCAAAAGGGAAAAAGAATTGGGCTATCTGGAGGTGAAGTGGGCTTTCACTGGCAACATTCCAACAAATAGGTAGACAGACCTACTGGTGGGGAGATTCCAGGGGCATCAAGTACTAAATGGATGATTTGGGATCTCTACCAACCATAAGATTCTAGATTCTATCATCATGGCTAACATTTACATAAAGTGTCATTGTTCTAAAACCATAATCATTTTTGTGTTTTGTCAATTAGATATTTTTTTATTTTGATGTAATTTCAGATTCACAGAAAAGTTGCCATGACAGTGCAAGGAAATTCTGCATGCCTGGATTTATTAAATGTTTACACTTTGCCCCACTTACTTTATCACTATATATAATATGATATACATACAGTACTGTGTGTGTATAATATATATAATATTTAGGGTAACAAATCTACTTCAGAATATATTTCAGGTATCATGACCATTTGTCCTTAGAACAAAAGCAGAATAATCATGAAAATTAGAAAATTTAATATTAATACTGTTATCTAATCCACAGTACATACTCAAACTTAGTTAATTGTTCCAATTTGTCCCTAGGAGTTATTTTTCCCCTGTCCCTGCAGGATCTGAGCCAGTATCATGTGTGTCTCCTTAAGTTCTTTAATCTGCATCAGTTCCTCAGCTTTTCTCTGTCTTTCTTAACCTCAGCCAATTTCAAGGATGCAGGTTGATTATTTTATAAAATGTCCCTTGGTTTTGGTTTGTCTGACTTTCCTCATGATTAGGTTCGTGTTTTAAACATCTTTGTTAGGAATGTCATAGAAGCAATGCTGTGTTCTTCTTGGTGCGTCCTATCAGGAGTCGCATGATGTTGGTTTATGCAAATTTGATTGGTATGAATTTTGATCACTTGGTAAAAGTAGCATCTTTCATGCTTCTTCATTTCTTTTGTCATTGATAACTAGTGTGTTGATACTCTGACGCTATGTAAACATCCTATTGCTTATCAAGTTTGTACCCACTAATTTTAGGATTTATTTGCAACTTTTTGATTTTATATATCCTTCTACTATTTATTAGTTGGCATTCTACCATAAGAAGGAACTTTCTTTTCCCTATTTAGTTTTTTGTGTGCTTATTTGTATCAATATTTATATCAACATAAGCTTGTGGATTCTTATTTTGCTCAATATGTTATAATCTGTTAATGTTATTTTTACTTTTGATGCTCAGATTGCCCCAGATTTGGACAGTGGGAAAACCTTCACACAGGCTCCTAAGTTCCTTAGAAATGGCCCCATCACCATTTGATCAATTCTTTAATTTCTGGCTCAACAGAATGTTCCAGGCTCATCTTGAACTTCTCTGCAGCAGTCATAGAATCAGTGATTACTCCAGGTCTCTAGATCCCGTAAGTGAAGACTGCAATTTAGAAACTTGTTGCTATATATGCTCATTTATACCTTATCATATGCTATAACAATCATTGCTATGACTATCAATCATCCTTTCAGATTTAATGATACACTAAAAAGCTGTGCTGGAGCTCTGCATATGGGGGAGAGTTCAAAAATGATTCATTTAAGGTAAAAGAGGGGCTGGCTGGCCCTTAGGTTGGCAGCGAGGTGGGGGGCCCCCAAATGCCAGAGTGCAAAGGTCATTTGTTCTAAAGTTCAAGTGACCATACTGGTTGCCCACAGGTTGAACACTTCTGTTCTTTAACTAGATTTGCATTTAACCACCCTATCTCTGTTTTAGCCCCAATCCTTATATTTTCCTGTGTGTTGCAATCCTGATTCTCTCTGCGGATTTGAAGGGGAAGATCAGCTTGCTCTTTGCTTATAGCCCCCTTTCATGGTCTGTGCTATGGTTTCCTCTTTCTTTCTGTTTTCTTTCCATCTCCTTCGCATCATCCAGACACTTAGTTAATCCCTCTTATCAGTATTGTTCCTACAATTCTGTCACTGTTGGCTTCTACCTTTTATTATAATTGAATGGGTTCTGGGGAGGGGAAAGGACAAAGTCTGTTTGGTCTGTCTGCCATCTTTTCTTTTTTTTTAAAGATTTATTTATTTTAAGGGGGTGGGAGGGGCAGAGGGAGAGGGAGAGAGAAATTCAAGCAGACTCTGCTGGACATGGAGCCCCACTCAGGGCTTGATCTCACGACCCTCAGATCATACCTGAGCCTAAACCACCAAGAGTTGAATGCTTAACCAGCTGTGCCACTCAGGTAGCCCTGTCTGCCATCTTGAAGCTAAAAAGTATAAATACCTTAAAAAGCACAAGAAGGGATTAAGTACAACAATTTGTCTCCTTTCCTCCTGCAGTAATGATGTGACAGGCACAAGGATGGTTTAATTTCCCTATTTATTTGCATGACAGTAGTTTTTTTTTTTTTTTTGAGGTTGGCTTCATTACCTATCCATGTTACTGAAGAGAAAACTGATATTAAAAAGTTAAATAATTTGTTTGAGCTGTATCATCCATTTGTAAAGAAAAAAAATGCCAAGATATAGCCAAGGAGTGTCTGACTCCAAATCCAACCCTCCACTCTAAAATGAGTTATATAGCGCTTTTAGAGTTATAACACTCTTTTTCAGAACTATTCCTGCTTAATGTCACTTCTTATGCCATTGATAATTATGCCTTATATTTACATAGTGATTTACAGTTCACAAAATACTTCCATAGAATCTTATTTAATTCTTTTTTTATTGGGATATAATTGACAACATTATATTAGTTTCAGCTGTACAACATAATGATTTGATATTTATATATATTATAATCACCACAGTGTCTAGTTAATATCCATCACCATATAGTTATAAGTATTTTTTCTTGTGATGAGAACTTTTAAGATTTACTCTCTAAGCAACTTTCAAAAATACAATACCGTATTAACTATAGTTACTATGCTGTACATTATATCCCCAGAACTTATTTGTAACTGGAGAATTTGTACCTTTTGACTACCTTCACTCATTTTGCCCACCCTCCACCCCTGGCTCTGGCAAGCACCAATCTGTTCTCTGTGTCTATGAGCTCAGTTTTTGCTTTTTCCATCTTTAAGATTCCACATATAAGCGACATCATGTGGTAGTTGTCTTTCTCTGTCTGACTTACTTCACTCAGCATAATGTACCATCCATGTTGTTGCAAATGATAACGTTTCCCTTTTTTACATGAATAAAATTCCATTATATATCATATATCTATCCTATCTATCTATCTATCTATCTATCTATCTATCTATCTATCATCTATCAATTTTCTTTATCCATTTATCCATCAATGGATATTTAGGTTACTTTCATGTCTTGGTTACTGTAAAAAATGCTGCGGTAAACATGGGGGTGCAGATAACTTTCCAAATTATTATTATTCATTTTCTTTGGATATATACCCAGACATGGGATTGCTGGATCATATGGTAATTCAATTTTTAAGTTTTTTGAGGACCCTCCATACTGTTTTCAAAAATGGCTGCACCAATTTACATTCCCACCAACAGTACAGATGGGTTCCCTTTTCTTCACATCCTTACCAATACTGAA